TCATCTGATCAAAATTCAAGATTTTGTATCACATAAGCAGTGAAAAGTACTATTGCAATCACCACTTGTGGATAGTAGGAATAATGCCTTTTTAACGTCAAAAGAATATTGGTAGGTTTTTCAACATGTTGATCTCCAGGCAAGCTTTTGTTTAAAAATGCACTGTTTATTGGTTTGGGCTGATAAGAGATTTCTTTAGTTTAAATTGGGACTATTTAAAATACAGACTTTGTGCCCAGTGATATTTCTAATTAAGCACAAAAGGGCCTGAACATTGTAGGGAGGGAGGGGAAAGGCTGGAATGGAAGGAGTTCAGTGAAGGTTTTGTTTCAACATTAGACACCGGGATGCAGTCTATAGGACACACTGGTAATTACCAAAAAGATAGCATCATACTGGCTATGGAGTTTCTGAAATGTGATGGGTCACTGTTGGTTTTATTTTGTTAAGTAAAAATGAGCCACTGGAAATATATCTAGTATGAAAAATGAGTCCTTGCTAGTGCTTAGTATCTTAAACCTTTTGAGATTTGAGGATTAACAATATTTATTTTCTCAGTAAACCTGACACTTGGGCAAGGTTCAGGTTGTTGTTTTGCATGCAGATGTTCAAGTCCCTAAAGAAACTGGGACTCATGGATCAAGATAACAGCAGGGGGATTGCTTACCACAGGCAGAACAGACTTGACTTGGGGAAAACTAATTTAATTTATTGTCAGTGGAAAAAAAAGGTAGGATACACACAAACAAGGATAAAACTGAAAAAACTTTCCACTCATCCCCTGTCTTCTCCCCAGGCTCAGCTTCAGTCCTTTGTTCCCGACTTCCCTGCTCTAAGTAGTGCAGGGGGATGGCGAATGGGGGCTGCTGCGAGTTCGTAATGCTTTTTCTTTGCCACTCCTTCCGCCTCACGCTTTTGCCTTGTTCCCACATAGGTCCTTTCCACAGGGTATAGTCCTTCAGGAATAGAATGTTCCTGTCTGTTTCCCCCATGGGATGCAGTTCTTGCCAGGAGCCTGCTCCAGCACGAGCTCCCCCTGGGCTGCAGCTTCCTTCGGGGCATGCTCACCTGCTCCAGTGTGGGGTCTTCCGAGGGCTGTGGGGAGACAACCTGGTTCACTGTGATCTTCCCCACGGGCTGTGGGGCAATCTCTGCTCTGGCACCTCCTCTTCCTCCTTCACTGACTTGGTGTCTGCAGGGCTGTCACATTTTTCTCACTCCCGTCTCTCAGCCACTGTGCAGGTTTTTCCCCCTTTTTAATTCTTCTGTCGCAGAAGTGCCACCAGTATTGCTGATGGGCTCAGCTTTGGCCAGTGGTGGGTCTCTTTTGGAGTCAGCTGGAACTGGCTCTGCCTGCAAAGGCAGAGGCCCACATCTCACAGGGGCCACCCCAAAGACCCCCAACTGCCAAAACCTGGCCATGTAAACCCAGTACAGATGCAGAGAGAGTTTTGTGTGTGGGAGCCGAGTAAAGCTGAATCTGTTAGTGTTTGCTTGTTGTACTTAGACTTAAACCATGAGCTGACCTAGGAGGGTGAGTAGGAAGAGTGGAGTGGCTGAGGTGCCAAGGAGACCACCTGGAAGCAAGGAGCTGTCCCAGGGCTCTGGCTGGACAGCGTGTTTGTCTGCTGCCAGCTCACTGGGAAAGGTAGAACAGAAATTGATGGGTGCAGCTGAAGGTGGTGATCCAGGTGGCAGGTGTAAACTGGATCTGCCCTTCCTCTTTGTTTTTCCCTTGGATCCGCATTTTCCATTCTTGAAAGTCCTCTGACAGCAATGTTCCCCCTTGCAGCTCTGAGCACGGCTCATTGGGTGGCCCCAACGCAGAGTCAAGTGGGTGACTTCAGCAAGCTCCAGAAAGACGAAAATTAGATGAGAGGGACAGAAGCACCTAGTATGGGCCTGATAAAGAATTCCTGGTGAAGAAGGATACTCAGCTGTGACAGGCAGGCCTTTGGGAGTGAACCTGGAAAGTGCTGCAATACTTCTCAGTGTGTGAAAGCATGATCCAATATAAATTTCCCTGAGATCAGTCAGTACTACAAGTGGCTATGCTAGAATATAAGTGCTGTGGAGCACAGTACTTCAACAAATTCACAGTGCTGAGAGGTGAGACAGTAAATCAAGAATTTTGCGAATATTGTCTGATGTTTAATGAAATGTGGCCATAACATCAGTGGTAATTAAATGTCTCCATGAGCACTGAAAGGTGTAGTTGTTATTCAAGTGGATAGATGTGGCATCTCTTTTAAAATGGCATGGTCGAGAGTGTTCTAATAGCAGGGTTTGTGAGTTTGATTTTTTTTTTAATTATTTGGCCTTTAGTTCTCAGTCCAGAAGAAGCAGATAAATTGATTTTTGCTGTCTGTAGGCAGGCTTTTTTAGAAGGTAGATCCAAGAGAGAGTGGCAAAAGTGGTCATATCTGCTTCCCCTGTGCACAGTGACAATATTGCAGTGCAGTTGGCAGTTGCTGTAGTGCAGGTCGCCAGTCTGCCTTTGGAATTGGCTGACTGACAGAAGAAAAAAATGGACACGGACCTGTAACTGAGTGTATCTCTGCAGGATGCAGGTAAATATAAGATGCAATTGATAAACTGCAAGAACAATTAGCAAAGTACCAAGAAAGCTCATGAAACCTGGAAAGACTTTGAAGGTTATGGCATGAGAGAAAGGCTGTTTGGATTGAATATAGGAAAGAGAGGGTCCAAAGCAGGTTGAAGAAATAACTCTTGGATAGAGATCAGCAGAAGAAAATGTTTGACAGGATTTGTAGTCACTGCCTGGAGGGATTGGACATGCCCTTTTTCAAAAGCTGTCAGAGGTTGAGCATCTGCAGGCCAGGTGGCTGCAGAGCAGCTGTTATTCATGGGACGCCAGTGGGAAGCAAAGTGCTAGCCAAGCTTTTAGCAAGGCAATGTACCCACAAATAACCTAGTTCTGTCAGAGCTTAGTCCCTCGTGGCCTAGGCTTCCTTTGCTGGGCTGCAACCTGCAATAGTTTATTGGTTTTATCTTTCCAGAGTGTTTTTGTTTGTGACTCCTTTTTACTGATCTTTAGGTGAAGCTGGTATCTAGGTTTTTAAAATCCCCCTTAAAGCATCTGTGTGTATGCAGAGGTTGTGATTTCAGAGAGCTGGAGTGCTTCGTGATAGAGGGACTCTGGATGCTCTTGGCTGATGACAGTGCATGAAAGAGAGCATAGGGAAAGGTGAAGAAGTCAGGACACAGCAACACCCAGGCATGTAAAGCAGAAATAACTTAGCAGCTGCTGAGCTGGGACCCTGGGGAGAAGGTATTCAGGGGCAGAGTGCCAGAAGGGTTTGAAAAGATGGGGAAGCTTAAGATAAGAGGGATTTGGTAGGGGAAGTCAGGAAAGAGCCTGGAGAGAGCAGAGGACCTGTAGGTTATTGAAAAGTTTGAGATGGATGAGAGAGATAAGAAGATCCTGAGGGTTGAGTGGGTGGAGCTTCAGCTGCAAAGTATTTGAGAGGACATAACAATTTTGACCACAGACAGGACTACATTAGCAATTGAGGCCAGTGATTATCCCCTCTATTCAGCAATTCTGAGACCACACCTGGAATACAGTTTGAGACTCCCCAGAACAGGAGGTTCATTGACATACTGGAGCATGTTCAGTGGAGGGCCATCAAGATGATTAGAGGCCTGGAGCCCATGATGCAGAAGGAGAGGTGGAGGAAACTGGGTTCTTAGTCTTCAGAAGAGAAGGCAAAGGCAAGATGTGATTGCTGTCTTCAAGACATCAGTGTGACAGTATAGAATAATGGAGCCAGTGAAAGGAGAAGAGGCAATGGGAAGAAGTTGGAATGTGAGAGATTCTGGTTAGATATTAGGAAGGCTTTTTAAAAAAAAAAAAAAAGAAAACACAAACCATAAAATTAGTCAGATTCTGGAACAGGTGCCCAGAGACATTGTAGACTCTTTACTTGGAGCTGTTCTGTTACGCAAGCTTCGTCTGGACAAAGCCTTGGTAACTCTGTCTGGTTGGCTCTGCTTTGGCTTTGAGTTTAGTCTAGATGACCTACAATGTTCCCTTCCAACCTAGAGGGTTCTGTGGGTTGGAGTGGGAAGGGTAAGAGTTAGAGACTGTGGTGTGGGTAGGAAAAACTTGGAGTTGAGGTCAGGAACCAAGGTACAAGGAGCTATTAGTGAGAGGTTTTGTTATGACAGGGCCCTGCGCTGCAGTCCCTGATTTGGGAAGATAGGGATAGAAAAGTGTCTCTCCTGTCATGCTTCCTGACTAGTTCTCTTCAAGTTCCTTTTTTTTGTTGTTGGAAATACAGCAGTTACAGCTTACAGTTATTTTCTTGTTAAGGACCCAACTCATGCACCATTGAAATTGCAGTCTTCAAAATTAGGTCTTAAATGCAAATATTTTTATTCTGCAGAGCCAGTGGCAGAACTGGTAATCTGCAAGTCACGTTATTGAAACTGATACTCTCTTTTTTTTTTTAAATTGTGGCATCACCACATAACACCACTATTAGATGATTTGGTTTGGGGGTTTTCTTAGTCTTTGAATAGCTGGTGCAGAATTGCATATGCATTCGTAGATAACTCTAGCGTAGTATTAAATGCACACTAATTGAAAGAAAGATTTTCTTCTTTTCCTTCTATGGATGCATGGGACAGTCCCTGTTTTGAGCTGCTGTCAACCTGGGCTCAGCATGACTTGAATTATTGATGAGGGACAAGTCAAGATGGTTTACCAATTGTTCAGAACTGCTCAGCTGTCTGCAGTTACCTATACTGGTCTGCCACAAGAATTTCCTCTTGACTGCATGTCGGAGAGGTGGAGGATAGATTTATTCTTCTTTATCATAGGCATGTCAAAAATTAGAGTGTGTATAAAAACACCATTTGTATTGTAGTTATTTGTGTCTTGTAGTTTTTAGCGCTAAATCTTAATCTGTTACAAAGTTCTTACAGGTCGTCGATTTGTATGTCCAAATCAAATTATTTTATTATTTTACTCCTAGGAAATTGAAAAATGAGCTTCTGGAAGTGAGAAGGAAAGGTGGAAACCGTCACTGTCAACAGGACAACAGCAGGGTTTGTGTTCGCTGTCAGAAAAGCCTGGGCTTTATCTTTGGCAGAGGAGACCTGTGCCAAACCTGCAAACTTCGAGTTTGCAATAAGTGTCGTGTCGTGGGAACCGACGGGCAGTGGAAGTGCTCGGTGTGTGCCAAGATTGCGTAAGTTGTGGAGCTTTCATAGACGCATTTAGAGATTACTACTGCGTAAGTAATTTTGTGCTGGTGTCACTGGTTTACATCCCCTTAGTATGAGAGCATATGCATAGCAAGTACACAAGGGAAGAGGCTTATCTGATGGTTTTATTTGCTGCACTATTTGGCAGTATCTTTGTTTCCAGTTCCAAGTCAGTTTCAACTAGCTTGCTTTTGAAGCTGCAAGCAGCACAGATACTAAGCTGTTGGTGGGAAGTGCTCTGAAAATGACAGAAAACCAGGTGCAAGGCAGTTGACAGTCCATTCACATTATGAAGACACAAATGTAAGAATCAAGTAATTCAAAATTAACAAAACAGAATTAAGAACAAGAGACGTCTGCATGTTCTGACTGATGTGGTACATGGATTTGTAAGGGAAGAGATGCAAAAATTGAGAGTCCAAACACTTCAAGCCATGTTTCTGTCTTTTTTTCTGTGTTTATAGTGACTGAACATCTCTGCATGAAGAGAGATGGCTGTATTTATAATGCCTCTATTAGTGAGCATTCTGAAGTAAATTGTGCTATGGTGGGAGGTAAAAAAAAAAAAGGGAAATCACCTTTCTCGCAGTTGGAATATTGAGCATGGGGAATGGAGGAGGAGGGTTGCAAATCACAGTACTGAAAAGTAGAGATTCAGTATTCTAACCCACGATATCAAGTGAATAAACAAAGAGATGTTATATGTTCAAAGATATTTACTTGGTATATACTTGGAAGAATAACTCACTTGATTTACCAATCAATATGGTAATATGGGATTTTGTAGCTTGACTCAGTAAGATAACCATGAAGAAAAGGAAAAATGTATTGGGCAACACAACTCAGTTATGTCTCCTGATGTAAGGACTGGATGGTATAAGGAAAAGACATGATAAAATAATCATATTAAAGGGGAAAAGAATTAGAGTAATTCAGAGGGATTCTTATTTTCTTTTACAGACCATCAGACTAATGAGATCAGGAAGATAAGGCTTTTTGTAAATTGTATCAGAGAGTGAACCCACATTGCTAGTTACGTCAGACTTTGGTTAGCTAGACATTTGGTGAGAAATTAATACAGCAGGACATGGAGTTTAGGGTTTGTCTCTTCTAACTTTAGCTTTAGAAGGTTAACGTCTGTTTTCACGTTTTCTACAGCCAGTGGGGCACATCCAGAGGACAGTGTTTCACATCTTAAGATGAAACATGTTCAAGTGCTTGATTTTGTGAAATGATTTTCAGTTGGTAGCGGCCTGGCTTCAACCAGTTCATGAGGTGTTGTCATTGCTGTGCCTTTCAGAAATGATGTTGTGTAGGTGGGATGACATAGTGAAGAATGACAAACACAGTTCTACTCTTTAAAAATGAAGAAAGGAAGAGCAAGGGGTTCATTGACCCTATCAAGTTACCATTTAATTTCTCTAAAAATACTAAACAAATGATTGCTGTGCTGTTTGAAAGCCAGGAAGATGACAGGATGATGAGTAAGAGCTGGGTCAAGAACAAATAATGTCAAAGCCAATTTAATTTCCTCCTTTGATAGGGTGACAAACCTTGTGAATAGAGGAGGATCTGTCATGTCTTATACTTGACTTAAGCAAACCTTTTGATACTTTTTCTTGTACCATTTTAATAAGCTGATAAACAAGGAGAGGTATGCCCTGGAATAAATTCTGTCAGTGTGATTGCAGACCTGCCTGGAAAATGATAAAGCTCTGTTCTCAGTGTAATTATGGATGTTTCACTGTCAAACACAACGCCCACAAAAAACCAACCAACCAACACAACAACAAGTACACCCAAACAAAACCTACGTCAAAAAACCCAACCACCAAACCTTTCCCCCCCTAAAACCAAAACCCACCCAAAAAAGAACCAAACAAAACCCCCACACACACAGCAGTGGTACAGAGCAGAATAATTCCTGGCTTTTTACTGTTAAGTGTTTTAGTCAAGGACTTTGATGCAGCAGATAAGTTTGCCAGTTACACCTGCAGGTGAAATAAAACAGAGATGCTGCAAGCATGCTGGAGCACAGGACTAGGTTTCATAGTGATGCTTACAATTTAGAGAAGTGGTTTGAAGGAAAAGCAAGTGTTGGTTCCCTGAAGGCATGTGGAAGTACTACATTTGGTCAAAAATGCAGCTGCAGAAACACAGAATGAGGATAGAAACAGCTTATGCAGCTGTTCCTCAGGAAAGGATCTGGATATTGTGCTGAATGAATCAGCAGTATTTTTCACTGTAGAAAAATCGAGCATCACACAGGCATGTTCAAGCGGGATTATGGCATGTAAAATACATGACACAATCCTGTTTTATGTCAAGTGCTCTGCCCAGTTTTCTGTAGCATACTTTATGTTGGCTAACTTAAGAAAGTTCAGCAGAAAATAACTATCATGAGCAAGGCACACAGTATGTCCAGAGTAATGGAAGGACTCTGAAATGTTTGGCCCAGGCTCAAGAAAACTGAAAATAACTGTGTTTCAAATCTCTAAAAGGCAGGTGCATTGAGGAGGCATACAAGCTGTTCTATGTACTCGTTTGGGATAAGAAAAGTATTGTGATACTTCAACAGTAGTGAAAGGATGTAGGTTAGGTGGTATGAATACTGATACAGCTTGGAGAGATTGCAGAATCTTGTTTTTAAAAACAGGTTTATACAACCTTTCTCAGGAGTGACATCTGTAAAAGTGTTACTGTTTTGGGGCTGAAAGATGGATGAGGTACTTTCCCAAAACGTATGCTACCCCTATTTCTTGTGAGGGCTACCATTCTGTATGTCAAGCAGTGGTCCGAGCAGTCATCTTGAAAAGGAGTTCCCATTGAAGCCTGCCTCTAAGTTATTACAAAACAGAGGATAATTTTTTTAGAAAGTGTTAAACTTTGCAAGGGCTTAAGTTTTCTCTGTGTTGGGTGTCTTTAGGAAATTGAAATATCTCTCTGTCCTTCCTTTTTGTTCATATGCAGTGTTTTTGCAAGACTACAGTGACAGTTAATGATCTGTAAAATGCCTTTTACACTACTAGAATTACACAAATTATCTTCTGTGTGGGCAGCATAGAGATGAAAATTTGAGATAGGTATTTCAGTGAAATCATTGTACATAATTTAAATTCTTTCAGTTCTGCTTTCTCCTGTCTCACTTAAGTGAGAAATGCAGAGAAGATTAGAATTTTTAGGTTTTTGAAATTACATTTGAAGGAGGACCTGATTAAGTTAATGGGAAAAGGGCCTTTGGCAAGATTAAAAAGCAAATGGCAAGGAAAAGAAAATGGGAATCCAGTGTTGAGAGACAGTTATGCGGTGTGAGTAGCAAGCAAAGGGCAGGAGGAGAGGAAAAAAACCTTCTAGCTCTGTAGCATTGTCTGCATATGTTGTTTGTGTCTTTCACATTGGATTGTTTCACCGTGCTAGTGGCTTTGCAGAAAGTGTTGGTTTTATTTTTTTTTTTTCCCCCCACTGTCCTTTTCTTTTAGCAACCTTGATGAATGAGACTAGGTCAATGTAGATACCTGTATAGACTCTAGCACCTGCATTCCGTTAGCAGAGACAGGTTATACTGTTGTTATAAGGTATATGTGTGTTGTTACACATACTGTGAGACCCTTAAAAGGCAGGGACAAGCATTTGTGGCCTTCATGAACTCTTTCCAGTTCTAGTGCTATAGTAGTTCTTGGCTGCCTCACCAAAGTTGTGCTCAAGAATGTCTATTAAGTGCCGCTTAAAGTGATGATAGTAGTAACCTGCACAAGTGTTACATAGTCATGAGGTATATCTGCAGGAGTATGTTCAGAAGCAAGTTTTTTGGAACTGTTGGGAAGCCTACTGCATTACATCTGGTGTCAGAGAAGGTGGTCTGATACTGGGTGTTGAGTGTGTTCATTCAAACAGAAATTGATAAGTCCTACAGAAGTTACTGCAGAAATCTCTTGAATTACACAGATAATCCAGAATGGTTGCTGAAACAAAGAACGTTTTGTGTCAATAAAAGAAAATGTAGATATCAGCCAGCTTCTGCCTGTTTCTTCATTTAACATGTTTTGAACTTTCCCTTCCTTCTGTGTACCTTGACTCCTCTCCGCTCATAGCACAGGAGTTTGGGATACCTGTAGTACAGCAAGAGGACATGCTGTCACATAGCCTGAGATCAAATGTTATCATGACTTTAACATTTATGGTGGGTTTATGTCCAGCTACCAAAGAAAGGTTGCCAGCTAAAATATAAAGTTGCAAGATAAAGCAGTTAAAGGTCAAGAAAGGTTAGCGCTAAGTCTTCTGTCCAATTCTTAGTTCTGCAGTTATTGAAGGCAGAGACCAAGATAGTCTTTATGTCATTGTGTGTCTGATGTTTATGTTGTGTAGTATTTAATGAGATAAATCCAGCCTGTACATAGATGATGTGCATACCCACTCGATGAAAAAGGAAGCTTCTCACTCCATTCTCTGTGCACAAGGAACTGAGTCCATGAGGAGCTTTCAGACCTAGGTGTTAAAAGAGAAACTTTCTATTGAGGTCACCTTTTTTCCTGTGTCATCTCAAAATATGGTGAGTTTGTGTTTTAAATTTGACATCTGAAATGATCAGTAGGTCAAGGGAAATCAAGTTCTTCAAGAGGTCTGCTGCCAAACTGATTTTGGATCTTGATGCTGTGTGTATTTCTCATTACACATGTGTCTACATATCTGCAAACAATGCCTTTGTTTTGACTGAGTTCTTCAATGAGATAAAATGCCTAGGTGGTCCAAGTTATTAACGCAGAACAAAGCAGTAATGCGAAATTTATCTTCATCTTTGAAATAATTGTTGTCTTCAAGTGTCATGAAAATTCATCAGTATCTTACTAATATTTGTTCCCATTAGAATCCTAAAGGTTGAGGCATTTCAAATGTTTCAGTATGCAAATGCTTTTCAGATTTCTTATGATTTCTTTTTATTTTAGTAACTTCTAAGGAGGTTTGCCTTATTCTAATAGGGTCAAAAGACTTGCCTTACAGCATATTCAAAATTACTCTAGAATTAATTTATATTATACAAAATACTCTGGGGAATTGAATACATACAGAAATGAGTGTGTATGCTTTGGTATGTTCATGTGTGGGCTGCATTTTATGCAGCGTTTGGCCTTGCCATTTTTTTTTTTACCCAATTTTTCTTTCCCATGAGGAAGAATAATACTTGAGGAACAAGAGAGGAAAAGGAAGCCAGACTAAATTTCTCTCCTCTACTGTGGATGTGGGTTGAGCTGGATGATCAAATGGACAGTAAAACTGGTTTACCAATGTACTGTTGGGTTTTGTTTGTTTGTTTGGGGTTTTTTTTATTGTGTGCTTTTTTTTGTTTGTGTGTTTGGTTACACACACACACCCACACACCCAAACACACCCCCCGAAGAAACGATTAAAAGTAACAATTGGGAACAATTGTTAACAATCTTAAATGGAATTTTATAATTAGGCATTTACCAGTGAAGTGTCTTGGAAAAATGAGTGGAAAATGAGAAAGTGAGTTTTTGGCAGGGATAGGCCGCAGGTTATGTTCTATTTCTAAACTGAGCAGTGCATTAGTGAAGTTAATCTGTTTAGTGGGATCATAGAGGGAGAAGCAGCTGTCACGGAATCGTAACGTACTCCCTCTCACATGATGAAGTGAGTAGGTGGATCAATAATTAATGTATGAGGACTTTAGGTGGTGCCTAAAGTATTTGTTGCTAAACCTACCTGTTTGAACGTGATTTTCTTTAAAATTTTCCTAGACATTCTGAGTATAGGAAGAAGCAATCATGCCAAAATTGATACTATTACAATGTATAGTACTGTTTCTTTCTTTCTAAAGCTACTGACTTCAGCATCTGTTGTATACCCTGAAAGGCCAATCAAAGGACTGTTTTTGGTAGAACACAAACATATTTTTACTTTGTATGCTAAATGTTAACTGGGAAAGTAAAGAGAATGCAGGTACATACCATGACTTACAGTCAGTATGGACCTTAGACCCAGTTTGAAAACAAAAAAAACCAAGCCTTGAAGCAGTGAGTTGAGGTGCTATTGCGTAAGCACCCTCATTTCTTTTCCCACTGAAATAATTATCTATGTGGAAAAGGTTCATTTAAGTCCTGTATCAGAAAGAGAAGATGAGCTATCTCAGTAGGAACGACAGTCTCCCTTTGTCATAATTATAAATGCTTGAAAATAACATTATTATAAGACTGTTTAGGTTTCGCTCTTCAATTTTTGATTCAGAATGTCAAATGCAATTATGAAATTCAAACTTCAGTTCAGAGACTTAAGCAATCATTTCATCTGAATTCATTTCTATTTGAGTAGAACAAAAATTGTGCTAATAGGTACTCTTGACATGTATGAATGACTGAGATAACATGAAAACTAGTCTTCCTGTGAGTTGTTCAGTGTACATGAAAAATGCAGCCAATATTATTACATTAGAAATTCATAGCTGACAAGCTTAGTTTTTTCCCCTTTATTTCATTAGAATGTGATATTTTTGTAGAGGTAATCTGTTGGGAAAGAACATTTTCAAAAGAGGGGACTGCCAGCTGAAGTCAGGGTCCCACGACTGAGTAGCACTGATGATGATAAGGACGAAGGTCTGAAGGGAAGGTCTCTAGGCTTGTTCCATGTGACGCTCGCAATGGCTGGCTATTGATGGCTGTTGTTTCTTCCCCTGTGTCGTTGATAACAGTATTAGCTAGAGAGGTGAAGCACTTGACTAAATCAGGACAATACTTTGTTATTTGCTGTGTTTCTTGCCTTGGTTTGAGGGAGTTGTGTGTGTTTCACCTCAGACCTCGTTCACGTGGTGAAGTCAGAGCAGAATGGGTGTGGGTCTCCTCAAAGTAGACCTGCCAAGGAGTTGGCACCATGAGTTAAAATGTGGAACTTACTGCTTCTCAGTAAGATCAGCCAGATGAAGAAGATGGCCAGTTCAGTTTATCATTGTTAGCTGCACTGGCATGTGACAGTGGCTGTTACATTCAGGCATGCAAAAGAGTTCGTTCACACCCTTCTCTTTTTCTTGGGTGCCCATTCTGTGTTTGCTAGAGTGCACAGTGACAACTTCAAACTTCCTTGACTAAGCAAGAGGGGACCAGCTGTGTAATTAGGGGCTATTTAGAGATTTACTCTCTATTGAAGAGAGAGATTACTAAAGGAAGTAGATTGCTTATTTACCCTTTGCCAGAAGATATAGGGATCAACTGTTGTTCCCAAATAGGTTAAGCTATCTCTTCCCTCAATAGCTTTATGTGACTGCGAGAAAGATGAGTGGGGTTAGTGGTTACTATTCCAAGGTGGTAGCAAGAGGAAGAGAAAGTCCTTCTCCACAGTACTCCTGCCTTGGTCCCTAGCCTGGCGCCAGCCCTTCCCCTCTTACAGGCTGCTTTGATCCCAGAGTGAGGAGTAGGACAGCTTGTTGGGATGGCTGGGGATGAGTGAGGATGGAGAAAGGGAGACTGATGGTGAGCTCAAAGGGTGTGTGAGTGACCTGAACCACCCCAGAGTGGAGGAGGAGAGGAAGGACCTTTCCCAGGGGTGGATGCTGGGGGAGTACCTCCTCCCCACCAACAGCACCCCCACAGATACCTGTCATCCTCTTCCTTTCCAGCCTCCTCCCACAGCCACCCCAACTGTTCTTCCCTCCGTTTCAGTCTCTCTAGCCTCCATGACCCTCCTTGAGCCCTTGGTCCTGCTGCTGCAACGCTTAGTACCCACCAGATTATAAGACTAACGTACCATAAAAGAAGCAGACACACTGGTTTCAGCCACCGTTTTACACAGGCTGAGGTCCCCTGGGCACTTGAGACACAGGAGGCACCAGAGAGAGATTTTCTTTCTCTCATCACTGTTCTCCACCTGGCCAGGAAATATGGGAGTGACTCTCCAGGAACCCTGTGGCAGAGGTGATGCCCCTCCACAAACCACAGCAGCTCAGGCAGGTGGCACAGTTCAGGGTTGGGTGTGGAAATAATTACAAGTTCTTTTTGCTTGTAAAAGCCTGTAGATTTGTGTGGGGCAGCCTCCCACACTGCTGGGACCCCGGGTGCAGGTCCCACCTTCTCCTTCAGGTTGTCCCGAGTGTGGTAAAGGTGCTTGTCTGGGTAAAGGAGGTGGGGAGTGCCCTATGTGAACTTGATCAAGTTAAGCATTGTTAGTAAGATATTAGGGATGAATAAAATCTCTATCCAAAGGGAGAACAGCACATCTAGAGTTTTATGGTTAAACTTGGGAGTAACTGGGGGGAGAAGAATAAACCATGTAGTTCATACTGCAGTGTAATATATCATTTATATTGCAATGGAATACAGTGGCATAGGCAAAGGTCTGAAGGGGTTATGGTTTGCTATAAAGCATTAAACTTGCTGTAAACCTTGGTATAAAAATAACCGCACAGAAGAGTGCGTTCTGTAAATCAATTATGAAAATACACATTTGGCGAAAAATTGTTTTGTCATACTAGCCATGTCGTGCACAGTTTCTAATGCAATTACTCCTTTCCAGTGTTTGTGCCAAACAAAAATAATTTCAAAATTCTGAGTGGAAATATAGAGATTTTATTTAATACCTTGCATAATGACTGACCGATTGTGATGATGAATTATATAGGGCTTTGTCACTAAGAGTCTGCAACAGCAAGATAAGGCAATAATCTTCTATATTTGTGGGCGTGGTTTGGGGGTTGATTTTGGTTTATTTTTTAAAATGATTCATGCAAAGGTGCATGATTCATCAATAGCTTAGCAGCAACTGATGATGTTAGGGTCTCTTTACCAATGACAGGATACTGTTCTATAATTTTTTTGTATTTTCCCAAGCCAGATGCTACATTCAGACATGACTCAAAAGTAATTTAATAGTGAAGATATTGATCAGGGCTCTAAATCTGTCTGTAGTAGTTTTCATGCCCAGTAGATTAGATGATTTCTTTTCTGGTATAGGTTTCAAAAAGCAAGCAGGATCATGTTTGAACAAAATCAGTTTTTAATGTTGGGGGTATGGGATTAGTTTGTTTATTTGCCTTTTTTTTTTAAGTATTCATGAATAGTAGCTTTTTGCTATCAACTGTATGTAGTGAGGCAGTAGAACTTAGAAAAGCAACTAATTCAGAAAAAGGCTACCAATCAACATAAAAATGTACCTATGGGAAACAGCAATGCCAGTACAGGATTTCTTTGTTGCTGGTATAGGTAGCAATTTGAAACAAACAAACAAAGGCAGCTTTATCCAGAACAGTAGCAAAGACAAAGGTTCATTGCTCTGAACCTCTGGCACATAGCTAATTCAAAACAACACTGTCGTGTGAAGAAACTGCATATGGTGGTTGGTGGCAGCGTATCAAGCTCAGAGATGAAAAACATACACAGGCTTGCAGCAACCTGTATATAAACAGGCTGGGTCCATGAACTGCTGATTTGGCTGGCAGGGGCTTTGGTGGGCTTTTTTTTTCCTCCCTTCATCCACTGTTGTTGTTTCTACATCTCTTGTCTCTTTGGAGATGCTGAAAACTGTGAGGTTCAGTAGTTTGCTATCCAAAGCACTAGGGAGATGCATGTTACATGTTTTCTACAGAAATCTGGTAAATCTGATTGAAACACTTTTTTTGCCACATAAATTTCTGTATACTAAAATTTACTTTTTATTCACAAAGCAAGATGGTACTATTTGTCTGCTACATGTCCTACTACCCCAAGCTTTGCAGCCAAACTTTTTACTCTTTGTTTTGAACTGTGCAAATGTTGTCCAGAGTTGGAGTATGATGGTTGAATGATGACCTAGGGGTCTGAGCAGTAGCTTTGGCTGGCCAAGTTTGTTAATGTGCATGTCTTTGGGTTTTTCGTTTTCCCCATATAGTCAGCTACGGATCGTGACAGGAGAGTGGTTTTTTGAAGAGAGAGCAAAGCGCTTCAAACAATCAAATCTTCTTGGAACTGATGTTGTCAGACAGTCTATCCTACGCAAATTCCCAGGTAGGGACGACAAGAGAGAGATTTGCTTGTGTTTAATACATTCAAAACTTTTTTTCCAGAGTGTTTGACTAGTGTTTTATTCTCCACTTTTGAAGGTGTAAGTATAATCAGTATTTTAATTTTGTATTTGGGTATTACTATGCAGTGATCTGTGAATGATTAATATATAGGAAAAGTAAGGGATAGAGGAATGAAGAAGTACCTTCTGTGGAGAGAGACAGCTGCTTAAAATCTCACTGTCCAAACTAGTGGACATACTATTCAGCTACTATTCTCTCCACAGCAGCAGGGGCTCTAGAAGTTCACTCAGTTCCTGCCAGGAAGTTGACTGTATGCAGAGATCTAAACCCAGCCACTTTTTCACTTTGGTGCTCTTCCTTGTGATGGTGGTGTGTAAAAAGTAATTCCATTTTTCTTTTTAGACTCTAAATAAGAAAGGTGGACATTAACTCTTGTGCTGTATGCTGGAGCATGGGCTGCATCCACACTACTTGGAACTTCTCAGTCCTCTCTTGACTTTCCTTTTGCTCAGATACCTCCAATAAATGGCACCTAAACTTTTTGGTACAGTAAAGAGTCTGGTCGTCTTGACCCAGTGCAGCAGTTGCCTGTGAGCTGTGGTCCCTTGCATGGCACCACAGAACCACTGCTTTAAGAAACGAGAGTTTTTCCTGAATGCTGATGCTTTTGTTTTCACTTGACTACTTCACTAAGCTCACAGAAGGTAGTCTGTTTTCAGATGTAGCATTTCTCACTTTCAGTAGGAAGGTGATGTGTATGGGCAGTTTGTAGCGAGAGGGACTGCTTTAATGCCGTTGGGAAAATGCCTGGTGCAAATATACTGCTCGGAAAAATGCTGATCTTGCCAATATCACTGTGTTTCAGAAGCTGTCAAACTGGCAAGTATCTAACATTCTTTGGGGTTTAAAATTATGCAACCTGTCAAATTGGGTATTTTGTGATTTGTTACTTTGCTTATGAAATACATATATTAAAAAATAAACCATTTTCCCCACACCTTGCTCCTAGCTGAACAAATATTTAATTGGGAAAAAGCTCTTTTATTTAACACAGAAAATGCTGTACACTTCAAAATTATATTTCAGATCCTTTGGTTATCAAGTGTTGTCAGTGATAAATTCAGAAGCATAGTTCAATGTGAGAGTTGATAATGAGAAAAATTTAAAGCTACCTAAAGTTTTTCTTTTATTAAAAGGAAAAACCAGGGAACCTCCCAAGTGGGTTTTTTTGTTGTGTGGGTTTTTTTTTTTTTTCATGATATTTTATCGTATGGTTTTATTTCAGTGGAAAATCTATTTTGATGGGTTGTTTGACATGTACTGGCTTTTTTTGGTGCAAATATTCACTTTTTTTTTTTCTTTCCCCCTGCACTGAAGATACAGTTTCCAGTAAGGATGAAGGAAGAACACTTAAAGATCCGCCCCAAGAGAACGAAGAAAAAAGGCCAGATGTATCGGTCTCCTCCACAACTGGGCATAAATCAGTCTTCAGCAGACCTAGAAAGATAGGGTAAAGCCTTCTCTTTTGGAAACTGATAAATGGGATTACAAGTGTATATCATTGGATGGATTTTCTTTTGAGTTCCTCCAGTGTTCCATATCAACCTCAAACTTCCCAGTGTTAGAAAGAGCCTTTGTTTAAAAGCGTGCTTACAATAATGAGCCACTATAATTAGACTGCTGTTTCCTAGGAAATGCAGCAGTAATTACTCTTCAACTATAAAGGTAGCAGAAAAAAGGCAGTTTTACTCCTGAATTTTTCTTGTTTATACCTGGAAGTAACAGAGTGTCCCTATAGGCATATTTGCTGAAGAAGCAAATGCAAAAAATAGTACTTGGAGGGCCTGGTTTTTATGTGTGCTGGTTGGTTCTGCTCACAAGTCAAGTTTTAATTTACCTTCCAGCTGTGCCGAGGCAGTCTAGCCGTGCCCCTTTTCTGTGCGTGTGACAGTGAACAAACAGATACGACGCTGGTCATCTTGCAGTCTCAGTGACGTGTGTAACCCCAGTTTGGCTATGCCCTTTGAGGAGTGCTTGCTCTCAGGGACACGGACATTCAATATGTGGTTTGCACAAGTAGTGTCTGGACTTCTCGAGGCTGTTTGGTTGAATGGGAAGCAAAATTCAGACTGTTGTGCATATGGTGGCTGGAGTTATGTGGGCTGATAGGTGGAAAACTTTGTTTCTGTTGGAAGAAAGAACACACAGATCCTAAATACAGGCTACGTAGATAGCCTTCTACAGCTTTTTTACTTCTGAGGAGAGCTCAGTATGGAATTACTTGTGCCAGTGACTCCAGAAATTAACGTGAGTGATTTATCTCTCCAACATTGGAAAAAAGAGCATCAGATTGCCACTGGCTTCTCTGATTAAGGTGAAGAAAGAACCAGTTTAGGGAATCTACTGTAATGGGATGAAGATGTTGCTCTAAATCATGCTAATTGGTAGCTATAGTAAGGGTGTATAAAAATTTACTTTTCTAATCCTCTTTTCATTTTAATAATTTGTGCAAATTCATTAGTCATATTCCCCTGTGAGAAACAATTTTCTTTTTTTTTATTTTTTTTTTTTTTAAATAATTGTCTGTTGCTTATTTTAGTGGCATTCAGCCATCTTCAGACTGTGGCCTGAAATGTTTGCTGGTGATGACATTCCCTATAAAGGAAATTTTAATCCTACAAGGATTAGGTAGCTTTTCCTAGTACATTTTGTGGCTTCTCTTAACATTAGTTCATTATTACTCCTCTTCTTTCCATGCTCCTTTTTCCTCCCTCAGGTTCCACATTCATGTATCTCATGAGTGCATTTGTTTTAGCAAAGCCATTTTGGGGCCAGCTCCTACTGACACTTATAGTCATGGGATAACTTATGATAACTTAACAGTCTGCTGTTGTTTGTAGGTCTGTGAAGAATACTATTACTTTTCAAAACTTTATTTAATTTCTTTCATTTTTGTTGTCCTAGGCCATGATGCAGGGTAAGGGGATGATGTCATGTTTTGGGAAAATAGCATGTTTGGGGCATTGCTGCATATAATTGTAGAAAGTGCAGAGAAACCTTTAAGAGAAAATACATATAGTGTAATTTGCTAGGAGAAAATACACATACTTAGTCAAAAATGCTTTGCTGTTTATAAACTGTTAAAAAAAAAAAATAAAGAGAGAAGAATTTGCACAAATGGCATTTCTGGATCAAAGCTTGAAGTGACCATGCTGAGTAAGAGGGATGTTTTAATGTTTTGTCTCATTTTATAGCAAATATGATGCTTTTTTTTGGTTGTTGTTGTTCATAGGAATCAGTTTGATAACGAGATTTGGTTGCTCTATTGACCCTTATGTCCAGAGTTGTCTGTAGGTCAGACAGATGAAATAAATAGAATGCGCATGTATTTCAGTCAGGCTGCTGTTTCCTGAGTAAAACCTTACAACATTTAAAATCTTTTATTCCCTGT